ATCGTTAGACTGAATACTAACAAACATAACTCAGTGGTAAGATTAACTCAACACCGGGAGTGCCATCCTGTTGTGTCAAACTAAGCAATCGTGAGAAAATACATTTGAATAGGTCGTTTGTCTCCCTCTTGTGTTAAAAAAGAACCGATGCAGGAAACTGTCCATTTTGTAGCTAGGTTGAAAGCCGGGGTATTGTTATTGGGACTTCCAGAGCTTGCGAATGCACTTTGGACTTACTGTAAAAATTCCAAACAGAAAAATACATTTGTAATCAACTGCTCCAACCTAAGAAAATGTATATTTTTGATGAATTCCTTTATTATACAGCACAACATGCTTTTTTACAATGCACAGGAAAAACAACAATAAACACCAATGCTGAAACGAGAAAAAAGTGAGTAGTGAAAATACCCTAAAACCCCAAAAACGTATATACAAAGTTATAGAACATACAATTCTTTTTGGGCATAGGATGTTACAACTAGTCACTCCTCAGAATTTGACCATTTGATGACAGTTGCTATGTTTAAGGGTGAATTTTCATAGCTCCTGTACAAGTTTGCTTGAAAAAAACAACACAATAAGCTGAGCTGTTTCTTGCAGAATCCAGTTGCATTTTTAATTTTTTTTTGCAGCAAATTGTTTTCATTTGTGACATAAAGTTTAACTTTCCAGATGAAGACTGCTTCAATAAAGAGTATCCTTTATTCCACTTTTCATAACACAAAAAACATGTACAGACATTGACAGCAGAACCCATGATGGGTTGACGCCCCATCCTGAGTTATTCCCTGCCTTGTACTTCTGCGTTTGGCTCCAGACCCCTGTGACTCTGCATAGGACAAGCAAGTATGGAAAATGGATGGATGAATGGATGGATGATGGACTGAAAACAGAACATGCTACTATGAACAAATTGCAGCATGTAACTGCTGCTGTTAATGCAGTCAGTTCAAACCCAAGATTGGTCTCACTTTTTTTGAAGTCTTGATTGCGTGTTGGAACTCTGTTTTGTCTCGGTTTTGGACATAGACCACTTGAGGTTTTATTTCAAGACCAGTCAAGACTACTCATCAAAAACACCTCAATATTCATCACAATGGCTTAATATTCATCTTGTAGTGCCAGCGGGATGTGTATATCCCAGCATGCTCGAGGGCAACTGCATATAGCCCCTTGTAGTGTTGTTTCTGTTAATATGTTGTACTCTCCTATTGTGGCATGTATGTTTGCCCATGCCCATGCGTTTCCCCTAGTATGTTTGGTTTGGTGCTTTCTGGGTGCCACTGCTAGTTCTTTTAAGGACTCTAATAAAAGAGTTGTGTTCTTTCTGGCAAGCAAATCTCCTTGTCATTCGCTGCTCTTGCTCAGTCTGCCCGGTGCTACATTGGTGTCAGAAGTGGAATGCCAAATGTGATCCTATTGGCGCTGCTGGAGCAGGCACTCTACAACATCCTGGCGGACCTCGAGGCAGCCAAGAAGCGGCAGCATGGGAGGAGGACGGCAAGGGACGAGAAGCTTATCTGCTGGTGCTGCGGGAGGAAGGGCCATCGGACATGCTATTGCCCAGAAGCCAGCACAGGAGCAGCCAATGGATGGACAGAGAGCACTAGGGCAAGGAAGGCACCCTCTGCTCCATTCAAGATGGACCAGCCTTGTGCAGCGTACCCTATAGCTGCTCCTGCCAGCCCTCTGGACCCTTGTCAGACATGACATCAGTGGCTGAGGAGGGCGGGCACAACAGTGGACTCTGACTGCTCACCAGTCATCAAGTACTCCTCACTTATCAGCCACGTGGAGCCATGGTGCGACCCCGGCTGTGAGCACGATCAGCAGAGACAGTGGGCGGAGGCTGCTCTTTTAGAGCGCAAGGAGGCATGCAGCAGCTACGAGGCCCAGTTAACCTGGGAATGCCGCAAGCTTTACGAGCAGCCAAAGGGGGACCAGCAGGACCGGGAGCAGCTACAGGAGTCCACAAAGCATCAGTGGCAGGAACTGGAGCAGCTGCACTGCGAGCTGGTCAGCTGGGAGCAGGAGCATGACCACCAGTCATGTCTGGCTGAGGGAGCCGAGGTGTCATTAAATGGCTGCGAGACGGCGATGCTCGGCCGGGGGGAAGCGTGTCGCACCCTGGAGACCCAGCTGGCTTTGGACCACAGCGCGCTGAAGGAGCAGCATGTGCGCTTCCTGCGGGAGTAGGACCAGCTGAGCAGGGCCACCTAACCCTGCCAGCAGGAGGCCCCGTAGCAGTACCAGGCTGCAACAGTTTGCTGGAATAAGAAACACAGATTTATCTTTAGTTTCCATCCATCTATCACTGCCTAATCCCAACTGGGGTTGTGGGGGGTGTAGCTGGAGTCTATCCTGGGAACAATGGGCACCAACCCTGGGAAGCTGCCAACACACTGCTGGGTATATAAACACACACAAAATTTATGCTTGCCAATCAACCTGTAATGCATGGTTTTGGGCTGTGGGAGGACATGGGAGCCCCAGGCAGAAACCCACACAAACACAGGAAGAGCAGGCAAACTCCACACAGAAAGGACCTGGGACCAAACCCAAGACCTACTTGCAATGAAGCAGCAGTGCTAACCATTGCACCACCATGACACCCTTTGATTTTTATTTTATTTATTATATTGAGAAATTGTACTTGTTCTTGATAAATTCTGGAAAATGTTATGATGTTCACCGGGAAATGTGAAATGTGATTTCTTGCTTAGCCAGATAACTTGATGAATTTAAGGCACCATAGTTTAAATGGACTTTATCTTTGTTCCCTTACATTTAACAGAGACTTATGTACGACAAGTTATCCAGCTAAGCAAGAAATTCTGTTTCACAATACAGGCCAATGGTTGCGTTTCCCAGGTTCTGACCAATAACGAACTGAGAGCCTCCTTCCTAGTTCTCGGTACACGGTGCCATGTTTGTAGTCTTTAAGCGGCTTCACTGAGGGCAAAATGTCAGTATGGGCCAGTTGCGAAATGGTGTTTCTCCAACAAAAACGCTTATGTCTTGCAAATGGAATATCGTATTAGGTAATTTCTAAATATCACCCTGTAATCATGCTAGTTCTACAGATGAGACTTCAGTGTTAAACAGGTTAAAATTTTAGCTCTCTAGGTAAGTTTCAGAGTCAAAAAACCAACCATAGCTAAATACATATAATAAAAATTAGTGGCTAGTTGTTATCATTAACTTCCACTATTTTTTTTTGTGTTTTATCAGTTTAACATTATCGGATAAAACTTTGAAGATAGCAGATTAGCAGTTATTGAGCTAACTTTTGGCTTAACTGAGCCCAGCACTGCATAGCCAATAGCAAAGATATTTGGCGAGGCTGGTGCCACCAATGTATCAAAATCAATAAGATGCAGGATATGCTGCCATCTTGGAAAATGTGTACAGTCAGATTTTCAAACTCAGTTGAAGGGCAACTACAAAGTGATGGGTGTGAAAGGAATTCTGAGCCGAATCTAAAATACCTAAAATTATGTTTTTGACCAAACACATGACCTGACAGAGGCGGTTGGTTTCTTCCTATGGTGTGAATGGAGGAAGTCCTCTCTGACAAATTCAGATGAGGAGGGCATAAAACAAAGTGGATCCTATTTACAAAGAGCTCAATCAAGTAATGAACAGAAAATGAAGCCCTGTCCAATAGACCTGTCTGTTTATGTTTATGCGTCTCTATGGAAATGGTACTCCGAAAGACTAAAAACATAATTGTATGTAAGAGGTAGACCTAGATAGGCGGGACAGAACACTACCCATTTAATCAAAATGTTACCACAATTGCTGATAATGCATTTGAGAACTTATACTGGGAATTGTGTTACAAATCCACAGGCTGTCTGAACATGGGAAGACTTATGTTGACTGATGCGTAAGTATGTTTAGTTCCCAGCAAAGGACTGGTATCTTATCCAGGGTGTCCCCGAGGCTGCAGGCTCACAACAAACCACTGGGTAAGTGGAATGGAAAATTTGAGGGGATCTACAGAAAATTGGGATGAGTGGTTTGTCTGCCTTAACAGTTACTCTGTAAAATTTTATTACATGTTATGGATACATGCACATATATTGGGGGAAACTGCCCATACTGTGCAGATCTTTTACAAAAATGCTATAGATACATTACCAGAATTAAATGTATTTCAGGAATATAGTAGCAAATTACCGACTATTTGTAAGGAATCTGTGTTTGTAGAATATTGGCAATACAGTTTCAGCAAAATTATGATTTATTGAACAGCAATATAATTTGTTTAATACAGAGCAGACGTATAATGATACATTCATTCATACAATGGGTATTGAAAGGCAGCCCAAATACAAAGTAAGGACAGTTCTTTACCCCTCTTTATACTCCAAAAAACTCCCTAACCGGGGATATTATTGTTAATGATAAANGTAGAATTAAGGCAGTTCTGAAGGCGAAAGGGGGTCAAACACCGTATTAGTATGGTGTTCCTAATAATCCTTTAGGTGAGTGTATATTGGGCATACACTGCCCATACTGTGCAGATCTTTTACAAAAATGCTATAGATACATTAGCAGAATTAAATGTATTTAAGGAATACAGTAGCAAATTACCGACTATTTGTAAGGAATCCATTTACATAGAATATTGCCAATGCAGTTTCAGCAAAATTATGATTTATTGAACAGCAATATAATTTGTGTAATACAGAGAAGACGTATAATGATACATTCATTCATACAATGGGTATTGAAAGGCAGCCCAAATACAAAGTAAGGACAGTTCTTTACCCCTCTTTATACTCCAAAAAACTCCCTAACCGGGGATATTATTGTTAATGATAAACCAAGAAGAAAATTACAAGAAAATTTCATAAAATACAAGAATAAAAAAAACTACAACTAAATGAAAACTATAAAATAACTGATTACATTATAATTTTTAACAACCTTAAGCTAAAGTAATGATTATCTTTAATTACCATTAACATCTAGAAAATGGTTTGCCCATTTTGAGGACATTACTACATTATTTGCAATGTGTAATCATGCTGGATTATCTAATGATCAGACACATAAAATAACTTGACAATGTTAAGTATATCCATAATTACTGTGAACTGCAATGAAAATACATAAAAACTAAATAGAAATATATCTTTAAAATAAAACCATACTGAAAAGTAACTAAAACTAAACTGGATTTCAAAATTTGAAAATTGAAAATAAACCTGAACTACAACACCACTGCCCCTTACCAGCTATTGTGTATAGTTGTGATCAGTAAATTTGCATCTGCATTTACTGGTCTCCTGGAGCATGACAAGGCTGATACAGGGATGAGGCAGGATGGGATGAAGACTTCCAACGAGAGCACATGGTAACTCCATCACTTCTCTGGTCATTTACTTCCTTATCACCCTAATGATGTCAAATGGGACCTCCCATGCCTTTCTCATGACCAGAGTTAGCTGTCTCTATATAAATTACCAACCAGGAACATTGAGGCATCCTTAGATCCTTACAGGAAGTAGACAAGCTATTAGTAAAATGCGTTATATATTGCATTAGTATATATTATTTACATGGAAGAATGCCATATAAAACTTTTATTGTTGTCATTCTGAAAGTAGACATTTAAAAATAGTTCAATGTCTACCCTTCAGTCTGTATTTGTTTCCTCATACTTTCCAACTGAGCTAGATTCTCCTCAAAGTGAGAAACCATCTCCCTGATATTAGCTACAAGCTTCATTGTGGCTGATTTTATTTCATTTTGCTGTTGTGACCCTTGTCTTATGCTGTGGATCTCTTTGGCATCCTTGACAATGAAATAGACATCGAGGGCAATGAAGACAGCAGACAGCACCCCTGTGAAGACCTCTGCTACCCGTACAACTCTGGCTGCTTGAGCAGCCACCCTACCAATGTTAACTACCTGGGTCAGACGGACAAGCTCTGCAATGCCACCCAGGCCCCTCCCTGCTCTCGATGCAGTCTGTGCCATATTAGCAGCATTTGTGTAGCTCTCATGCTCCTTTAATTTTTCAATGCCGGTTCTGATGTCTTCCACGCTCATGAGAATGGGTTCCATCTTGTCCCGGTATTCACTGATGGTTTCCTCAATAGTCTTACGCTCCTTTGACTGGTTCACCATGTTGGTGATGTTGGAAACGGCGCTCGTTGTCCATCCAGCTACAGAAACACCAATCCCCACACCAGTGACAATCAGAGAGGCTCCCAGAGTGAAAGGTGCCAGAATGAGCCCAACTATGGAGGTGACCCCCCCTGCAGCTCCTACCACCCCACCTGTGAGGCATCCTACGGTGGTACGGAAGTGGACGCGTTCCAGACCATCTGCAGTCATCTCCAGCTTCTTCACTAGATACTGGATATCACCAACATCTCGGTCATAGAGATTTTTAAATGCTTCAATATCTTGTTCTGACTGAGACATCATATATCTCAGATTCCTGGTAAAATTAAGTACATCAATATGAATACAGGGTTTTAGAAATTCATACAGTTAATTATACAGCATGTACCTGAAGGCCAGTGGATATAAAACAGTGAGATTGATCTCAAATTGCAAGTTACATTCCATTGACATACTCACTTCTCATTTCACAGACACTTTTTCCCAAAATTTGGAAAAAGCATTTAATTAAAACAATGAAATAACTAGTGGATTAACCCATAAAAAAAAATTAAGGGGGGGGGGCATGGTCTGAGCATGGGTGGCGGGGGGGGACAGATTGCGTGGTCCGAATTAAATTGCATTTTGGTTCATAGTTTGCCATGTCGTCAGTAGATTTACATTCATGTGAGTGACAATTACACAGCACAGTTTAGCAGGATGGTGAGGGGGTACGGGGCACCAAATATCAAGAGCTCATTTTCGTGCAGAAAATGCATTCTGTGCCACAAAAAACATTATTCAATGAAGAAATCAAATAATGCCTTGCTGCATTGTGTCCACAAAAAGACAAACTCCAGATTCATTTTGCTCATAAAAGCATAAAGACTTCACATTCTTTTGTGTACAGAAAAAAGGGGGTGTGTGTTTAGAAAAACAATGTTTTAGCTTATTAATTAATATGATACTGATTTTATAAAAAACAGCTATGAACTGGTGTTCGGATATTATCAGCATATGATAGAAATACATAAGCTTTCTTATAGCCTTAATCTAAGAATGAAGAGTGGCACACAGGCATAAACTGAAAATTAAATGATTTTTTAAATAAATACAAATAAAATTATCAGTAATATGTTCAGTAATTTCTTCTGTTATCCTTTTGCTACTTAAAGTAATTTCCTGTTTTGAATATTAAATTGGTCATTGTATGGTTTAATTTAGCTTGCAGTGAATAAATGAATAACCTGGCCAAAGTCCCAAAATGTTCACTAGACGTCCCATGACAATGTCCAAATCATGTTTAAAGGACTCTACAAAAAAATATGAACATTCAGAGGACATCCAAGGGACTTAATTTTGTTAGCTGGGCAATGACTATTCCCTGGTGGGGTGAAATTTTATAAAATTTTGCTTTTCTTTACAGTTATGACTTTGTACATATTAACTGTTAAATTTGCGGTTGGATACACGTCTCTGTCCTTCCTGGTATAATGAACCCATGTAACCTATTGGGTTAGGTTAACGGTGGGTATTCCCTGGGTGGGAGCCCCTGGAGAAATGCAGTCGACCTAGTTGCACCGCTCATGCCACGTTGAGCCCTGGAAGTAACTCGTATTGTGTTTACCTGTCCAAGGGCATTTCCTGATTATCCATCCATCCTTCTTCCAGCTGCTGATCCTGGTCAGGGTCACAGGGCACTCTCTGATTATTCCAGTCATGAATACCTGGACAAGAAATGTCATCTGTTACTAATGGCTTATAAGCTGTAAATATAATTTTGCCAATGCTGACATACTAATGAACAAAATAGTGTTTAATTTCAGAACAGGCTGAATAAGCTGCACAAAATCCAATTTACCTGGTTCGTTTAATGTAAAAGTTGCAGGAACCACTAAGACTTCTTCCTTTGTAAACCAAAAAGTAACAGAAATATTTGTGTAATATCCTGTGTAACAATGTAATGGTAAATATTCAAATTATTACTCTTTGATTGTCAATTATCGTTTGACTATTGATATTAGAAGGAAAAATAATACATAGGTCATTTAAACAATTTGCAAAATTCAAGAAAATATTTTGCTACAATAAAAGTCTATTGGTAATTGTTTTACATTTATATCTAACATTTTATTTGCCTATAACACCAAGATCTGCACAACACCAACATCAAATGTATTGTTATAAACCCTAATTTATTTTGAAGATCTGGGTACGAAACAATTTTGAGAACTTCTGAGCAAAAAAGAAGCTATACAATCACAAGTTAAATACATTGAAAAATCCCTATTTATAAAAAAAAAGAGAAAATCAATACGATTTTTGTGATATCCCAGAAATTTATTAAATTACAGCCATCGCTAAGTAAATAAATTATAAGTATGAATTCACCTGTTTAGTTATCCATTTAGCTAAGAATTCTTTCTTTAGTATGCTGTCAATGGTGGGTCTGTGAGCCGGATCCTTATGAAGGAGTTCATCCACCAGATGGCGCAGCTGTTCTGAGAACTTCTGAGAAATGTGTGGAGAGGGCTTGTTCCACAACTCAAACATGAAGAAATGTTCTTTTTGTGAAAACTATGAGGAATTGAAAGATTGTAGTTATTTAGTCTGCAAGATATCCTGAAATACATACATCTATATGAAATACCAAATGAATAAGTGATACTCACAGCAAATTCAAGTGTGCAGAGTTCATACAGCACACAGCCTAAAGCCCAGATATCACTGATGATCAGAAAAAGGTTTGTCAGTGTACAAGTGCCATCAACAGATACATTTTTGATTATCTTTTTCTATAGATTAATCTATCGACTATTTTATCGATTGCTCGATCAATGTTCCTCCAGAAAATCAACATTATTTTCGCCCACAATTCGATAAGCAGATTAGTAGTATACCTAAAAATATTGATGATATGTGTATTGTGATGGCCAGAAGTTAGTAATCTATAAATTTGGCGTATCCTCATCCTCATTTGCGACATAAGCGATAAGCACTGAAGTCGCGATGAAGGAAGGGACAGATTAGCAGCATCTTTTAAAGGAGCAAGTACTGTGGTTAAATAAGGGAAAAATATGTTGGTGGTCTTGCTTGGCTTTTTGTAGATTAAAGTTTTCAGTTTTATTTCAGTTCACGAATTCTTTTCTTTTTACTTAGTATCCATTTTCGTTTCGGTTTGCGCAGATACTGGTATAGTCAATCAACATAGAACAAGCCTGATTTTAGCCTAAACATTTTCACAAAACGCATTGAATGGAGATTCTAATGTAGCAGGCATACAAAGTTAAGGCTTTAATAGTGAGTGTAAGTTTAGCAGCTGCAAGGACAAAAGTTTTTAAAAAGCTCTCCGTACTAATGATAATTTAATAAACATGAATAAACAGGGTAGTTTTGCCTTTTCTGCTGATCTAGAATAGCGAACTGTGTGTTCTATGTTCCGGTGCTCATGTATACCGCTATAGTACCGCCATGGTGTCCTGCCCCGATCGTCCGCTCCTTCCGTGTGCCACGCCCCCTCATTAACCTCGTGTGGATTTCCCATGTTTACCAGCTGTTTCCTGTTGCTGCCATTAGTCTTATCTTATGTATTTAAGTATGCGTTACGTATGTTTTCCCCAGTCTGGTCATTAACGTTGTGTGACGTTCGTCTTTTGCTTTGCCTTGCGTTTTCGTATTGTTTCCTTTAATAAACCCCTCATTACCCCATTCCTCGACTCCCGGCCTGCTCCTGCTTCCCCGGTATTGGCCACGACACATGGTATGCCATCGCACTTTGTACAGTGTAAAACCACCTTTTTCGTTAATGAATATTTGAACTACTCCCATAATTATCATATTAAATGAAAACATTTTTATAATGAATTGAAGCGTTTTAGAAATCATAAAGGTAATTTCTTTAAAATAATCAAAAAACAAAAACCATGCTTCGATTTAAAATATTGATGTCGACGCATTTTCAGCGTCGACGTCATCGACTACGCCGACTAATCGTAGCATTGGGTATTTACTGTACTCATTGTAGTGTTTAGCTGAACACTATACTAATAACCAATGAAAGTGCATATTAATAATGAAAGCATAAAAATCACTTTTTTTTCATTTTGCATGGATAATTAAACACTGCACTTGAAAATGCAAGATTTTCAGCTTGCCATTACTGCATGATAACTGCTAATCGATCATGACCATGTAAGTACACAAGATGAGACAATTTGTTAGAATTTCATCCGAGTTTCACCAGCGCGTTTAATAGTTAAACATGAAAATAGTTAGCCACCCTTATATCAGAGGCATAGTTTTGCTAATAAAAGGGGGCAGAACTATCCATCCAGCCATTTTCTGAAACTATCTTCCTGGTCTGGAGTCTATCCCAGAGACTACAGGTGCAAGGCAGGGAACAATGCAGGATGGGGTGCCATTGCAGTGCACACTCACACATCATTCACACCTATGGGCAATTTGGTAACCCCAATGAACCTCAGCATGTCGTTGGACTGTGGGGGAAGGGGGACTGGACGAACCACAGGAAACCCCATGACAACATGGGGAGAACATGCAAACTCCACACACATGGAACCCTGGGGGAGACTTGAACCCAGGTTCTAGAGGTGTGAGGTGACAGTGCTAACAACTGTACCAGCATGCCACCCCCAGGGCAGAACTACAAAAAATAAAAATATGATTGGCTAGAAAATTAATTATTTTGATTGGTGGCTATGCGAGCAAATATTTATCTGCAAAGTGCTAGGCAAGTTAGAGCCAAAATTATTTATGTGCGCAAGTGTGAATTTGCAAGAGGACTTGGATTTGCAATACAGGTTTTGTCCTTGAAAACCATTCTATCTTTGTAAAAAAATATTTTTATGAAGATGTTTGGTTTCGCATTTACAAAAAATATTGACGTGTATTTGCAAAATGTTTTTCACGTTCATTCACAAATCTTCATATACAAGTACAGATCATGTGACGCGTATTTCTGTTCAGTATTTTGCGAATGAAAATTATGTTCAGTGCGAGCAAATTTCATTTTACGGGTGCAAATTGGAAAGTACACATACAAGTATATATGGAACTATTCTGACTCCATACATTTCCTTCGGCCACTCTCTGAGCTCGAGGGAAATTTCTGCGCTCGCGTTCTGCCGGGGGGAGGTTTTAACAGTTTGTGGGCGGAGTCATGCCATTTCTGACAGCGAACGCTATTGGCGGATGAAGTATGGTTTATCTATGTTATAGGCTAAGTATAATTTCGCCGATTCTCATTGTCCCCTGCCTGTTTCCCCATCAATATAAAACAGATACAGTAACAGAATGCAGCTACACACGTTATTGGGATGCTGAGGCAGGCATTTATCTCCATACGGTAAAGTAACGTTATCATGTGTTACGAGTTTCCATAGACCACACATAATTTCTACACCTCGTCATGCAGCCACTTACGATGAGTATTACTAACGTAGTTGTAGCATTTTGTATCGATGCTTTCAGTAGCTATTTGAACGTTGTGGGTTAAACTATTTTGTTCTATAGAAACGGCATGACTCCGCCCAAACTGTCAAAACCTCCCCCCGGCAGAACGCGAGCGCAGAAATTTCCCACGAGCGCAGACAGCGGCAGAAGGAAATGAGGTTTGCGCGCGAGCGCACAATGACATTGGGGGGAGAAAAATACATTAGAGAAGGTAATATTATGATGAACGCGCACGCAGCTCTTCGTCCTGTGCTCGCGAGTTTCACTTTTGCGCTCGCGAGCGGCATATTTACGCGTGTGCGCCAGCCCACACTCACACACGATTCACTCACACCTATGGGCAGTTTGGTATCTCCAATTAACCTCAGCATGTTTTTGGCTTATGGGGGGGCAGAGGAAAACCCATGATGACAGGGGGAGAACATGCACATTCCACACACAGGGAACCCTGGCAGAAACTCGAACCCAGGTCCCAGAGGTTTTTAAATTTTTGAATGATTTGAGCTCATTTAAAAATAACTTATACAGTAATATCTCTTAATGAAATCTAATAGTTGATAAAATAATCTAATGTAAAAGTGTGGTGTGTCAATAGTGACACAAATGGTTATAGGATATCTTTTTTAATGTTTCTTCAAAAAATAACGTATATAACCATGTATATAACAGACATGAAGTACTGTACAAAAATCTTAGGCAAATAAAATGTTTAAAACTATTTTTCTGAGTAGTAAGTGTATATTATCTCAGGAAAAAATAGTTTAACATTAAACCACGTGCAAATTATCAGTAACACAATAAAAATAATAAGAATTCCGTCTGAACTCTAAAAAGTGACTGATATCATCACTACAATTCTCAAACCTCTCCACAGAGGCACCCCAGCCATTCTATGTATTTGTGAAATTTCACCACCAGCTGAATAAATAAATTAAGGAACTCAATGAGGTATTGATTAGCTAAGTAGGTTCTACTAGTGGTCAAGTCAATAATTCATTTGTGTACTGGATGGTTACCACATATATATTAGGGTGACTTTAGGAGAGATTTTGAAATGGCAAAGCTAACACACTCTGACAGACATAAAATAATAATTAAACACCAACATGAAGGTCTTCTAAACACAACTTTCTTTGACTGCCCAAGAAATTATGGTTCATGATAACCTAATCAGATTTAATTATTCAAAATTTAAACCTATTGAAAACAACATGCAGTAAATCTTACGTCAGATACAATACCTTTTTTTATTAAAATGTTTGCCTTTCCACAGATCGGGAGCAATATAAACAGGTGTTTCTAACTTGTTTTTTGCATATTCATCTTTCCTGGAAGAAACATAATAAAGGATCATTATAACAACACAATTTGCACTGTAGATTGAATAATTAGTACTACTATTTTACCTAAGCAATGAAGCAAATATCTTATATTATCCTTTATTGTCAAGCAAATAATCCTTAAATTATCCTTTAAAAACATTTCCAGATTAGTGACATGTAAACGGAGTAACATCAACAGTATACCCAGGGATAATCTCCAGGGTCACAGAGGCCTTGCACTGAATAAGTAGTTATTCCAAATGGCCAGATGAATAGCTATTTCATTGTTAGGCAGGTGAAATGTTTTAAATGCGTACTTATGTAAAATTATTCAAATTATTAGGTCAGTCTTAAGTAAACAAGCCAAATGTAGTTGCACAGAATAGTGGTTTGAACTAAACTCAGTCTGACATTCTGCAGTAAAAGAATGAAAGTAATTTTTTTATATTGTGCTGAATCACAGTGATTTGGCTCTGCTGTATATGGATCTCCTACAAATTCTTTGTGAATCAGGAAATTTAACTCCCACCAATTGCAAACTAAGAGCAGCTGGTCTGATACGCCCGGGAGCATCATATGCTGATTAGTCTTATTCGTGACCCCAGCAGAATGATACTAATTTGCACTACTGACAAGGTGTCCTGGTCACAGAAGACATTTGGGTAGCAGAAGTCAGGCTCACATAAGGATGCCATTGCTGCCCAGGCCGCTCTGGACCCTGAATGCATGTATTATGACATGCTGACATAATATTTAACACATGATGTATGAATACATTACCTGTTTAGGATTTTAGAAACTCCAAAATCTCCCAGCTTGATGTTTTTTTCATCAATTAGAAAGACATTCTAGTATGTAGATAAACAGCAAAGATCAATAATATAATAGCCATAGTGGTTTTACTTTACTTACAAAAGTAAGTCTGTCCATCCATTCATCCATCCGTTTTCTGCAGCCACTCATCCTATTCAGAGTCTCAGAGCCTATCCTGGAGGCTATGGGTGCAAGGCAGGGAACAACCCATGATGGGGCACCAGCCCATCACAGGGCACACTCAAACATGCATACATACAAAACTAAGTGTGAATGGACAAATAAACCTGTCATCTCTACCTGAGGCTTTATATCTCTGTGTACAATATTACTGTTATGAACATATTTCAGGCCCAGGCAGATCTGTACAAACCAGTCCAGGATCTGTAAAACAAACACAAATGCAGGCACCAGAGAAATCATCAAGTGTAAAAACAATGTAGAATGTGCAAATAACTTCATAAGTATCTATATAAGTGTCCATATAAGTACCATTTCTTATAATTTTTACCGTATGTCTAGAACACTTTGAGATTACAGTCAAATGTCTAGGGATTACAGGGGCCTGTTACAACAACTGAAATCTGTTTATAGGTTACCTGGTCTTCTGAGAATGAAGTGCCTTTATTTTTTTGTGCTGCAATCTTTTCAGAGAGATCTCCACCTTCACAGTAATCCATTGCTATGTAGCAGTTGCTGTTCTCTGTATAGAAAATATGCATGTTAGTCCCTAACAAAGAGATGGACCAAGTAACATTAACGTACGTTAGGCACATTAGAACAAAACAATCTTTAAGATGTGTTGTTTTTTTATTATTAATAATACATTAATATATTAGCAAACCAGTTATTCTAAGGTGTTCAAAAATCTGGTCACTTCACATTTAATCAAAAACACAGCAGCTGTACCGTCAGTAAAGGACTCCACATGGTGGACAATGTGACGATGGTCCATGTCTGTCAGACTGGCCACTTCCCTCTGTGTCCTGTGCTTGATTTCTTCGTCCATCTAAACCAAGCAGTAAATTGAACTAGAGTATTTATTGCACATTTAACATGTTTTCTGAGAAAAGTTTTCTTAATGAGTAGAACAGACTTACGTTTGTCATGTTAATAGTTTTAATGATGTATTTCCTCTCATTTTTATTCACAAGAGCTGCTGTCCCAGTACTTTTGGTTCCAAGATCTTTCAAAATTGTGTAGCCACGCTCTGTCAGAAGACTTTGTTCACTCCCCATATCTGCATAAAAAATAATTAAATTTGTTTTTATCTTAGATGTTGATTTTTTGAGAATCCATGATGTTCATGAGCATGGCTATATTTGAGGTCTTTATTTTTTAAAAATAGCAATGTGTTCCATGAATTTGAAAATTCAGTATTTTAAAAATCATTTAAAGATATACATTCCTAACAAGAGTTATCAAACATTTTAAGAAAGTCAAATACAATACTTACCCAAGGTCAGTCAGTAATTAATATAGCCAAGGTTCTATTCCCTTTTCCTTAAATAGCCAACAATGCTTACATTCCCAGTGTAAATATTAACTCTATTTAGCATGTGATTTCAAGGAAATGTTCTGCTTTTCTCAGACATGGGCATCCTTTGATAGAGTTGGGGTGGTACCCCATGTACAATGTTTGCATAAAAGTCCCTACACACAAAGAATTCACAACAGCTATCCCCTCATTTGAGCAGCAAATGTGCAATCAGGAGAATTCTTTAAGTGTCTCCAGAGGAATCCTGGACTAGGCGGGCCACTGGTCTGGTGTATACTTTATCCTGTACAAGCAAGTCAACTGATCTGACAAGCCCATAGTGGCTGGACAATGTCTTAATGACTCTACACACAGGTCACTGGGTCCTGAGGAGCAGGGGTCAACCACCAGAACAACCACCATTCCATGGCCTCTAGCACATAGGGTACCTGCAGCAACAATGCATCCCACGACCCCACAGCATGTTTGTTGCTTCCATTCAGCATCACAGAAGCTGGTACCACGGCTTCAAAATATCTCCTTAGGTTACCGTGTCTGCGATAAACCAGCAGTGGGTGGGCATCAGCATCCGGGGAGTTGAGGAGTTGAATGTGGATGGCACAGGTAATGAGACATTTTTTTTAAAAATTACCCCCCCTCTTCGGAGGACAACTTTATTTTACATTAGATTCAAGAGTAAAGAGTGTGACCACTCCGAACTCACCCGTCCTAGTACCGTGATTATAGAAAATAAAAATAAAAAAATGGGGGCGGATACAAAAACAACAATCGTAACAATAACAGACATTAATCACCATGGGGATAGGGGGAGAAAGAAGAAAAAAAAAAGAAAACAAAGGTATACAGAAATAATAATAATAATAATAATGTAGGTGGGATGGAGAAAATTAAGAATACAGAATACAAGAACATCAAACAACAAACATTATAACAACAACAATATCAATAATATCAATAATAATAATAATGTTACAAATAGGTATTATATATATGTAGCATAGACACACGTGATCCTACCCATATACATGTATATTTCAATTCCTATATCTATAACATACACTAAACAGTAATAATAATATGATCGCTCAACCTCGTATGCGCCCATTCTTGTATGTGCAAGTGTAGGTGTGAACTGATTTTTTACTGGATGTGCTGGCATTTGATGCCGTCAGGGGACATGACAGCGCCTTCACCGGCCCAAGCTGATGGCAGGGGAAACCAGGCAACCGAGGCCACCCCGACGCCCCCATGGCACAAGGGCCCACGGCCACGCGTCCCCGAGACAACCACCCGCCCAACCCGAGAGGGAGCCCGCGAGGGACTAAGGGGGCACCAAGCCCCGTACAGGGAGGTCCGCAGAGGGGGGCATAAAAACGGGTCGGCGAGCCCCCCATTCCCACCTGCAAACCCCCACCGAGGAAAGCGGGTGCAGGCTCGAAGGACCCCATCAACCGGGACCACCCCCCCCCCGGGGGACAGCCCCGCACACACCGGAGGGGCCCCAGCCCGTCCCCCGGCAGGACGGATCGCCACCCACCGCAGCAACCCGGCACGTCCCCCCCCTCCCCCGACACTGCAGGATGATCTAAGGGAAGCCCATACAGACAAAGAGCTCCTCTCCCCCCCACCCGGGAGTGGACCCGCGGCGACCGGGGAGCGGCAGACCCCCCGCCCAGCCCAAATCTAAACCCCAAATCCGCCTAGCAGGGCCCAGAGTGTCCCAAGATCTCCCAGACTGCCCGCCAGGGCCCCACCATGGCGCAGCAGAGCCAAGGACCACCCGGCCCGCGACCCAAGAGAGGAGGCCGCCCACACCGGCCAGGGCCGCCTGCATCCCCCCATGATGGATCTTCCACCCGGCCGGCCACCCCACCCGCGCAGGGCCAGAGACAGAGAGTTAGGGGGGGCCCCTCGGCCCCCATCCCCTCCCCGACCCATGTTGGTGTGAAGTGTGCATGTACATGTGTGAGAGAGTTGTGTGTTTATGTCTACAAGGTATTAAAATTAGTGGGTGCAGTTCGGGTATGAGGGCCCCACCACTGGCAGATGGCAGAGTCCCTCATTCCCCTCCCCGCACCCCCAAGGCCCTAATATAATATGGACTGTGTATATGACTAAGGTGCAAAGTGGGCGAGCAGTTGAGGCACGGGCACCCCACCGCTGGCAGACGGCAGAGCCCCACCTGCCTCAACCCACCTCCTCAGCCCTAGTGTCATGTGGTGTCTAGTATGCAAGTAAAAATTGAGGGGCAGTGTCTCGGCGCACCCCACCACTGCCCCTCAAGGCCTGGGGTGTTCAGGGGTGCCATAGGCAGCCCGGCAGCAGGGAAACCCCCCCCCCAGGCGCAGACCGGGAGAGTCCCGCCCCATCACGCCCAATTAGACCCCAGCTAGCAGCCAAGGACGGGACAACCCCAGACCCCCCGGCAAACGGGGAGCCAGTATGGCCAGGCGGGGTGACCCCCCGCCCCCCGGCCACCCCAGCCCCCCAACCAACCCACAGCGCCCGAGGGCCCCACGCCGGAATCGCCAACGCCAGACACCGACCCGCCCCCACCAGGCTTGAAACATTTTAAGACGACACCCTATCAGCTTTGGCCGATCTTTACCAGGCAGGGGCCAAGGCAATCCACCCATGTTAAAAGAGGGTGCAGAAAAGTCTGAGCAAGAGGGGAAAATAAGCGGGTGGTGTTGGGTAGCCTGCCACCCCTCAATGTCCAGTACTGTCGGCATATTTCCATGTAAACATGCTCGGTTCCTGCATGCAGCATGTGCTCATTGACCTCTTTGATCAAAAACTTTGTCACTGGATGTTGTGGGTCAAGGACAATTGGATATGTCTCTTGCAAGCTTGAATTTCGCAGTCTGTGCAGTCCTCCAATTTGGAGCTTTGAGGAGTTCTGCCTGTTCAGGGAAGCTCTGAGCTTGACTCTGTCTCAGAAGTATGGCCTCTGTCTCCCGATGACAGTTGGACTGACAGCCATCAGTGGTCTTGACATGCTTGGTGAGTTGCCTCGACTCATTCCTTCCAAGTACTGAAACATGTGGAATCAGGGGTATTAGAAATAGAATACATGGCTGTTAAGTAAGAAAAGGTGGTGCTCTTCAGTTCCAATGAGCATATGGAGGTAGCATGTTGGGGCCTCTTAGGCCAATGTTCAGAATACTGTTTGAGAAATGGAGGCCCAGGGCTCTAGTGACTATGCTCTACCTGATCCTGGAACAGCTTGCCTCTCATATCATCCCCTGTGTTATTTTACATAACACCAAGCCTGCCACTCAGTCAGCTCCTGGATCTCTGACACATGGGTCCCAATGAACTATTTTGGAGTCAAATCACAAGATTGTCTGCCAAATGACAAGAGTCGTTTCAGTTTTGATAAGCTTTGCCAGCTGAGCTCCAGCTAATGAAGCACAATGTTCAAAATAGGGTATAAACTACTTTTGGGGGCAACCCTTGATCTGGCGATCATGAGCAAGGTATTCCCTGCATTGCAGTTTCTTTATCTGGTTCATCTAAGGTACATTCCTCTGGTGGTTGTGCAATTGGAAGACTGTCGTCATGTGGCATGGGTCTCAGGAAGCTTAGGGTATTCAATTGACTTCTTGTTTTTGGCAGAGAACCAGACATTAGTCAAACATAAGTAACAGTCCATCACATGGTCTTTCTGTTCTCGTCATATCATCGGGACAGCAAACGTCATTGTCTTTCGATTGCCTCTGAGCCAGGCTCTCAGAGAGACAGCACATGTCGCACAACAAATGTGAGGCGCCCATTCCTTGTCTTGATCACCGATTTTACAGCCAAAGTACAGATGATATGCTTTCTTCACAAGAGCAGTCATTGAGGAAACACATGAAAAGCGGCCCAAACCAAAAATACAGCTGGCAAACAGTGGCCGACAAATTAAATGCATAAATAGTGTGTAGTTATTCTACTTATAAGCTGAATGTGTTACATTTCCAATGCATCATTATTATCTTATTGTCATAATTACAGATCAAATACAAGCACAATCAGAATGTGGGAACAATGAAAGTGAAGTGTGTATATATATATATATATATTTATATATACAGTATATACTATATATATATATATATATAATGTGTGTATGTAAATATGTGTGTATATGTATTACTCAGTTTATATCTCAGTTGCGGTATCTTTCGAAAAGAATTTCCTCTGGGAGCAATAAAGGAACCAACAGATCCAAGATCATGCCATATTGTCAACAATTACATCCGGCTAAACGAGTAATCCATGTATGAAAAACACCCCCTGGTAAACAGGACTGTTGTCCTTGATATTTGTTTTTAGGGCGGCCAGCAGTGTTTTTTTTAGTTTTCTTTTTGACTTCCTGTATTCTTTTTCAATATTTAAAATTCTTGTTCACGACTTGATCCATTATTCTGTTAACCCCTGCCTTCTCCAATTCACTCTGTGTTGCTTCATAAAATTTGTTTTTTCACTCTGATGACTCTAACCTCACCTCCTGACATCATGTGCTC